AAAAAGGCCATGGGAGTCATTTTTTCCTCCATGCAGAAAGTCCAGTCAGAATGCCATGTGGGAAGGAGCAAGGTAGTTAATAAGCAGGCCCTGTGAACCACCCTTGTCCCTCCCTACCATCTGAGGAGCCCCGGGTACAACTCAGGATATGGTGGCTGGCCATTGCCCTTCAGCTCCTTGTGTTCTGTCCCTCCTCCGGGACAGACCCCCCCACTCCCCCAAAAGGGCAGCATCCAAGGACAACAGCAAAGCTTCAGGTCCCTTGCTGTTCCATTTTACATGTACAGGACTCCATGGAGTGGCTGGTAGACTTTACCTCCAGTGATGGTTTGAATCTGAAACCTCCCCTACAGGTTCATGTTTTGAATGCTTGTTCCCTGCTACTCACACACCCTGGGCTGCTCCACCATGCCTCCCCTGCCATGGTGCACTACAGACCTCTGAAACTATGAACCAGATGGATTTTTTCTGTCAAGTTTTATAGTCACAGCTCCATGCAAATAACCAACCCCACCCCTACGCCACCATGTAAGAACTTGGATTAACTGTGGCATTTCAGGTCCCATGTCTAAGACAGTGACACAGCTCAAAGCGAGGCCGCAAATCTGTACTCTAGAAGCTTCTAATGAATCTGGTATCCAGGGTATTCTTTGAGGAGGCTGGGACTCCAAGAGGTAAAGTGGTAAAGATCTAAAGTTCATAAAGAGCCAGAACCGGACCTGTCACCCAGGCTCCCAGGCCAATCCAAGGTATTGTCCATGGATTGACTTTCCTAGCAAGGACTAAGGTCCATTGCCTTTGGGACCGTAACGATGAAGGGGTTGACCCCTCTCAGATCTCAAATCAGTAGAAAAATCTAAACCTGTGAAAAGATATTGGACTCAACCACCATTTACTTCCCTTGGGAGAAGCTAGCCCTCTGAAACCCAGGGACCTTCCAAAGTCAAGGGAAAGCCAGTCAGGAAGAAACCTCTCTCAATACTGGAGACTCAGAGCCTGAAAAAGAAGACGCCATCTCTGCCTAGCCCCCTGGTGAACCTCTGAAACCCTAGCCCTAGGGGAAAAGGAGGCCTGTGTGGACTACCCAGCCTCTGCAAAATCTCCTTACATCCCTTCCCTTCTCATGAACTGTTTGTTGGCTACCTTGGTGAAGAAGCACTAAGTGTGTTCCCTGGGCAGGAAGGCAACTAAGGAGGTAAAGAGGAATAAAACCAGAGGCAGTGACTGTCCACATATAGCAAGCTGTGGCCAATCACAAAGATAATTCTTGCCAGATTCACCACGAAGCAGTGCCAACTTGTGCCTATTTGGTCTGATGGAGCTGGCTAGGGCAGAGTGACATTCTGGGTGTTTGAGGAATATCCTACAGCAAGGGTTAGCAAGATTTTTTTTCCTGCAAAGGATAATACTGTAATTCTAAGCTTTAATGATGGTCTCTATCACAATTACTCTACCATGGAGGTTGAAAACACTGATAGATATATTTGTGTTCTAATAAAACTTTATTTTCAAAAAGAAGACAGTAGGTTCATTGGTCCTCATGTTGTGGCTGCTCAGCCTCTGCCCCTGCCTCGTTACTGGGCTATTCAAGGTTCTGCACACACCTGACCTGTTTGTGTCTGCATTCATCTCTATCACTCTTTCAGAACTTCTTGTTCTATGCACAAGATATGTACTTCTGAACCTTCACAAGATATGTACTTCTGAACCTTTCCTCCCTTCAGATGCCCTGCCCCTCAGTTTTTGAAAACCATGTCTCCTCCCCATGTTCCTTCGTCATCCTCCCCTCCCTCTGGTTAGTTCCCTGACCTCTCTCCTGTCTGTGAGTGCTTCTGACAGCCTCTATAGTCACAGGAGTCCTTCCTCCCTCCCACTTGTGTGTATTTGTGCGCATGTGTTTATACATGTGTGCATGTGTGTGTGTGTGTTTATACATGTGTGTGCACATGTGGGTTTGTGTGTGTGTGCTTATGCATGCATGAGGGGATAGACAGAGACAGAGAGTCCCTTCTTCTCTTCTGAAGGACACCAGTCACTGGAATCATGTCTACCCTCTCTCCAGAGTCTTAACTTAATTATATCTACAGACTATTTCCAAATAAAATTCCATTCATTGTTAAGAGGAGTTTGAATTTGGACATATCTTTTGGGGGCAGGATCATACCTCTCACAGGTCTCTCACTTCTTCCCCTTTTATCTTATGCTCCTTCCTTTTTCTTTTCTCTTCCTGTTGCTGGAGGCTGCTCATTCATTTCCCAGCTACCCAGACCAGAACTAATCACACAGAAACTATATTATTACAACACTGCTTGACCTATTACCTCACACTTCTTATTGACCTTAAATTAACCCATTTCTATTAATCTGTGTATCGCTACATGGTTGTGGCCTACTGGTAAGGTTCCATCTGGCATTTGACATCTGTCGTTTACAGCAGCTACATGGCTTCTCCTTGACTCTGCCTACTCTCTCCTCCTCTGTCTGCTTGAAATTCCTGCCTTGCCCTATTTTGCATTGCAATAGGCCACCCCATAGCTGATTCTTTATTAACCAATGGTATTCACAGCATACAGAGGGGAATCCCACATCACCTCCCCTCTTCTGTCTAAATAAAAAGGAAGGTTTTAACCTTAACATAGTAAAATTACATATAACAACGCAGGTAACAAGCAAGAATTACATATACAATATTTATATCTATTTTATCTTTTATTATAACTAAGGAAAACTATAATTATAACTATCTATTCTTAAACTCCAGAAGAATATAATATTACCTAAGTTAACGGGAAGTGCATTATAAGCAACTTCCAAAACTCTAGAACTGACAGAGACATCTCGCTGCCTGAACAGTCACCCAAGTTTTTCTGTAACATTGGAGCATCCATATTCAGCCTACAAGTCCAAGTAGCTGGCAGATGTTTCCATGAAGCAAGAAATTTCAAAGACAGTTCCACGTATATTGGAAGTTTGTCAGTCACTTTCTTCTGCGTCCCAAATAATGTCTGGCATACTTTTCATGAAGCAGGAACCCCAAAGGACCGTCTGACCCTTAGGCAAGTTCAGCAATAATTTTTCTGTGGGTCCTGCATGTCCAGTTCATCCAGCATAACATCAAAAAGTCCAGGCAAAAGCAGTTTCTTACCCAAATGACTAACCAACTCCATAAGGAGCCTCTTCAATGCCCATCATTCTTTGAAGTAGATTGGTGTGCCAGAAGCAGATATGTCTCATTGTCATGAAAAGTCCCAAGTTATTAAAACATTTTAAATTTTATTAGTCTTTGAAAGGTTTGAAGAATAACTATCCTTCTGAAATATATCTCTATACATC